TTTGTCCTTAGAAATGGCATGATAAACACAGAAATCACAATAGCGTGATGCATCAAGTGCCTAGACGCTATTATTCTTTATCGATTAAGGCAGCGTCTGGGATGCTCTCGGACGTAGGTTCGAATCCTCATCACGGCCCTTGTGGATTTGTTCAATTAATTTTCTTCAAATTGTCGAAGCTCTTTAGGTGATCAACGATAGCACAGTCACATTTTAACATGTTCAAACACACAATTTCCAATACTGTGAATCGTGCTTCTTAGCGAGGACACTTTGCGCTTATAATTCAGTTCTAGCGCGAGCGTCAGCACTATTCTGCCTTCCTCTTCAAGTTCAAGTATGTTTATTGAGATAAGCAAGAAATACATCTCAAAGGGATAGAGTAGCTTAGGCTATTTCTATACCCCCTCCTTCCTCTTTGTCCCGTTCTCTTCTTTCATTTGCCTTTCTCCCCCTTCCCCGTTTCTTCCTCCCACATAGCTCCCACTAGCAGACTCCCTAGCTGAGACTCACGCCGATTCCAAGCCCACATACTCCTCTTCAATAGCAAACTTAATCGCCTTAGTGTATTTTGCAGACGAAGCAAGGACCTCAAAGCCTCTTCCAGCTGAAGCTTAGACTGGACTCCTCTTTGTTTCTTCTTGAGGCCTAGACGCTGTCGTTACCTGCTGGAATATAAAATAAAGTATTTTCCATACAGGATAAACATCAATTCCACCAAAAAGGATGTCGAACACTCTCTAATTTGAACCTTTTGTGCCCTCAGAAATTCTTTTGCGCAGCTGCACATAGGGTGAGTATGAGGTGTACAATTTAATTAACTAGTTATCACTGGCGGCACCAATTAAAATAAATTCCTTTAGAATATTTAGGGGAGAATTAAAAGTCTATTCAAAGAATAAGAAACCTTTCTTACGGAGAATATTAAAGTTGTACTCTGTCAAAAAGCATAAGACTAGGTATATATTATAAAGCAGAGATTCTTAACCAAATGCTGAATATATAAGTTACCAGCGACAGTCAGGTGTTTAGGTATTCAGAGAACACTGCCGAGATGGATGCAGCATCATGCCCAACCGTTTCTGTCTAGAACGCGATCCTTTTGTTGTCATACTAGGACGTAGACCACTGCGCCACGCGACCCATTGGGCATACGAGTACCTAAGGTTCGTAACAGTAAAATAATACGTATAAATTAATACACAAAATTTATTTTTGATCTCTGTCTTTTCGAGCAAAGAAAATGCGTCGACATATTTTATAAGATTTTTTCGAACTGGTATTTTATAAACACGCGTCGAATTATGCTCACACACACACACACGCGTGCACACACACACACACACGTGCTCACCCACACGTGTATATCTGCTCATGCTACATGCACGCACATGTTCCTTCACCCTCCCCAACCTCTACCATCCCAAAACACACACACACACACACACACACACACACACACACACACACACACACACACACACACACTCACAGAAAGATCTAGGAGTTGATATCACGCCAAACCTGTCTCCTGAAGCCCACATAAAAAGAATTACATCTGCGGCGTACGCTAGGCTGACTAACATCATAGCAGCGTTCAGGAACCTGTGTAAGGAATCATTAAGAACCTTGTACACAGCATTTGTAAGACCAATCCTGGAGTATGCGGCCACAGCATGGAGCCCGTACCTTGTCAAGCACAAGACGAAGCTGAAAAAAGTCCAAAGGTATTCCACTAGACTAGTCCCAGAACTAAGAGGCATGAGTTACGAGGAAAGGGCTGCTGGAAATGCACCTTACGACATTGGAAGACAGAAGAGTGATCACTACCTACAAAATCCTCAGGGGAATTGACAGGGTAGATAAGGATAAACTGTTTAACACGGGTGGTACGCGAACAAGGGGACACAGGTGGAAACTGAGTACCCAAAGAGCCACAGGGACGTTAGAAAGAACTTTTTCAGTGTCAGAGTTGTTAATAGGTGGAATGCATTAGGCAGTGATGTGGTGGAGGGTGACTCCATATACAGTTTCAAATGTAAATATGATAGAGCCCAGTAGGCTCAGGAATCTGTACACCAGTTGATTGACAATTGAGAGGTGGGACCAAGGAGCTAAAGCTCAACCCCCGCATGCACAAATAGGTAAGTAATTGTAAACACCACATAAAACATGCCTGAAAACTACCTTGTTCTCTCGTAACTGATGTTATCAGAGGAAACCCGTAAACTTTCGTGAAGCCTGTACTAAGTTAACCAACAAACTAGGGAACTCATTCAAGTATTTACCATAATGTGAATCCACTTGAGTCTAAGCCGTTCTAGAAATAATTCTTCCTCAGGTGAGTTTGTGGCGACTGTGTGATATAGAATACGGCTCAGAGAAAGATTATACACTGTGGAGGTTTTGAACTATAGCCGGTACAGCAACAACCTCGCTTCTTGCAGGGTTGGCGTTCGATCGCAGATGATCCAAGTGGTACTTGCTGACCAAACCACACACTAGAAAGTGAAAGGATGACGACGGTTCGGTCCGTCCTGGATCATTCTCAAGTTGATTGTCAACCACACAATCGACTTGAGAATGGTCCAGTACGGACCGAAACGTCGTCGTCCCTTCACTTTCTAGTGTGTGGTTTGGTCAACATATTTCAGCCACGTTATTGTGACTCCTCGTCTGCAAGTGGTACTTGTACACCGGTCCTTCACTCCTCATATCCTCATATCTTGTCCTCACATCCTTTCTAGATGCCGCACGGTCTTGCCGCTTTCTCTCCCTAATTACCTTACCTAGAGACTTCCAAGCAAACGCTAAAAGTTAACATAGTATTTGTCAGCTGACTGAATCTTTGCCGGAGGTTTAAGACGCTGTTAAAGGCGAGTCAGGCGATCTGTATCCACCTAGCGGGATGCTTTGTCGAGGCTCGTATCCCAGCAATTGTTTACGGACTACCCTTCAACCTCCAGTTGTTGTTTAAGATTCAGCTACTGAGAACAAGAAGTTCTAAGTAGCACTGGCTATGGAGAGCCCGTAGTGGACTCACCTAGCACAGGAGCGAGGCTGATGTGTTTCAACCTCCAGCGGTTGGGTGCTTAATAGCCCACTGTACTATATGTAGAAGAGCGGATCTCTTCTATATGTAAGACAGACGGGAATGTATCTATTTCTGTTAGCACTAAACGCACTCCAATCACCTGTGGGATTCAATAACTCACTACAATATGCATAGGAAAACAGATTTTAACCTTGTCTATGGAAGACCCGAGAGAATGTATATATGCTGGTTAACACTGTAAATGTATGGACACGTCTGTGGTAGAACATAAGCTAAACAAAACAAAAACTGGCATATGTGGGTGCTAAGAATTTCCGGGTTGAGAATGTGTTGTTGATTAGTGGTCGAGAGAACGGGTTGGTGGTGAGGTGGTTGGTTATAGTCACTGGTTGTGAAGGTTGTCATAGTGATAAGGTTGGTTGGGTAAGGAGAGAGGGGTAGCTGATGGGAGGTACTGGGTAAGGAGAGGGGGGGTAGATGGGTAGTACTGGGTAAGGAGAAAGGGGGTAGATGGGAGGTACTGGGTACTGTGGGAGGTACTGTGGATGCTGTCATGACTTTCCTTAACCATGATTCATCTCCCTCTTTTTTCATTTTTTACCCTCTCCCCTCACCTTTTCAACCTTCACTTGAAACTTGTGATGAGAAGAGTACAAATACAAATTTAAGTACAAATGATAGATTGCCCTGAAGGCCAAAGGCATGCAATTAAGCTAAAATATTGTATCTCCAGGTAGTGTCACAAGCCTTCTCCAGGTCAAAACGAACTGCCACGACTGAAACGAGAAAAGATTCAGAGGTATTTTGGCCCCAGTGCCTCTTCGAGGCAGAACACTTACAGCGCACATCTCCAGCACAGCATGAATTCCACAGAGGAACATGCTTCCACGTGCCAAAAAGAGGTATTAGTGAGGGTCAGAGTAGAGCAAAGTTTAATAAGGCATCGTGAATAAAAGGGAGCATGGAAGGATATCAGATGGGCCGGGGAAAGCATCACGGAGAGTGAAAAAGATTCTAGTCTGTCTTATCAAACCACCACTGATGGAAAGAGAGAGAGGAGGCTGGAAGGATAAGAAGGGAAACAAGGATGGGGAAATGGTTACTGTTATGAGGGCCATCAATGACTCTCAATGCTAGGTCTATAAATGGAGAGCAGCAGAGAGAGAGAATGATGCAGGAAGGAGGGCAAATGTGAAAGTCAACACGAGTCGACTATGTGGAATTCAGGAGAGACAAAATAAAATGTTCAAGATGAAAGCTTCAGGTATTTGTAAGGACATTGCCCCTGAGAGTATATCAACAGTTACAAAGTCACCTAAAAGGAGCACAAGCTCCAGCAAAAAGTCAAAATGTTGCTCGTGGTCGGGAAGAGAAATCGAAACATGGAAGGATACAAATGGAGCAGATGGTATACTATTTATTCACAAAGATACAAGCAGTGGTAGAATGAACATTTGACTGAAAAAGAATTGAGGGATAAAAGGAATATCATTCCAGATTAATAGAAAATTAGTTAGTATTACCAGATATAGTTAGAGAGGAGAGAAAGGAATAACTGGAATCAACCAGGATGGGTGTCAAATCATCAGTTCCTGGAGACAAATGCAAAGTGGTGAAAATTGCAAGATTTTCACTGCAGCTGCAGCAAAATTGAGAGTTGCAGCTCTCTGAAATTGTCATAAAAGTCATGGATGTTCCATTGAAGAACAGCTATTTTGTCTTTTAGCAAAGACACAAGTAAAGATACGAGACAGAGGGCACAGAACTAGGCAAGATCAAGATCCGAGCAATCAGGGTTGGGGGAACAAGGTCAGCAGTGATGAAGGTTTGCAGTGAACATTTTTGGGTGATCATACATGTACCTTTTTGGGTCGGTTGGTTTGATGGGCCTGTAAATTGCATTAAATTACTAAATATATAAAAATGCAAGGCTTATTTTAAACAATTTTCGTAGCTACAATTTATTTGAAAATTCACACATCTTAAAAGGTCATTCATATTTGTTTAATTATTTGTACATTAACATTACAGAATGAAAATGCCTTGTGTAGCTTAGGAACCCTTCACTCGTTCTGTCAGGGTTACCAACTTCTTCCCCAAGATAATACATACAGAAAAGACTGCTTCCTATATGACCATAGCTCCAGTCAGGCACAATCTTCACATGCTTGTTCAATGGCTACCTAAACAACTTTTAAGCTTTAATATGCTCATGTTCCCTCTCAACAATAATGTTCAAGTTGAACATTTAAACAAATTCACCAGTTAGATCAATTATTTTTCTGTATGACATACAAAAAAATCTATTCCCAACATATTCAATTAATTTTGATCAAGTATTTATAACACTGCTTCTTTCTAGTGAAGAGAACAGTTCATATTAATTTTCCGTTTAACTTGTGCGTTATTTGTATTTAATGTTCTAGTCATATTTATTACTTAATTTCTGTTCCAGACTTCTAAGGTAAATGAGCACAAATGTGACTGCAGAACATGGAATAAAAAATAATACACTAGTTAAGTACAAAGTTGATACGGTACATTCTAGTCGTTGGCAAGTTGTTGTTTTTGATTCACGGACAAAATTAAGTGCAAATGTTGGAAATCAACTTGTGTATTGTCCAGCAAAATAATTATCCAAAAAGCATCAAGCCTCATCAAGCAAAACAATTGATACTGTATATATATATACACAAAGTCACAACTAGAATGCAACTGATGTAGTATATACAAAACAAAATGTGTGATGTTGGTGCAAGGGACCTAAATATTATTTAAGGAGTGGATGCCAAGCATCTACACAGATATTATATTAAAAGTCATAATTTAATCAGTCTAAAAATATGGTTAATTATGCTACGGTAATTAAAACTCATACAATTTTAAAGCAATTCTATAAGGATGAGAGAGATATACTGACCAAAGGCCCACAAATTTAATTTAATGCCAATTATGAAGAATTTGCAACTTTAAAAATATTATGATAATGAAAATGTGCATAATACAATACCTACACATTCTTTGTCTGAAGTGAACATCTTTAACCATTCTTTCTTAAAAACCATAAAAATGGTCATACTGTAAAACTAACCAAGATACCATTTGCAACTGAGCCTACAGAATGTATGCCATGACATTAGGTCATGTGTGTGTAGAAACTTATTATTAATACATCACTTTAGGTCTCAATGCCCATGTGTTAAAATGGTTCTAAAAATCTGCCACCAGAGGATTACATGGTCCAATAACATTAGGAACCATGTTTCAATACCATGCATAAGATACACATGTTTCATACTGTTTACGTAAAAAACAAAAACAAAGAATTTGGCATCAAACTGAAATGCAGGTAAATTGATAATGCACAATGAAATCACGTTAATGTGATAAATCAACGAGAAAATCAGTAGGAGCCATGAGGATGACCCAAACATGCTCACTCTATTACTCGTAAGGAAACGACCACAAACCAGTGTTGCATTACTCTTGATCATGTCGTGGTGCAGTGGTACTCCCATTTGCTTGGGAATACCAAGTGAATCCTCCTCACGGGTTCTACTGATTATATTCATAAGCATAAACATTTGATATATATTAAATTCATTTGTTTATCTTGCTGTGCTTCAAACCAATGGCATCATCTGAAATAAGTACTGTAGTCTCACATGCTACTCTTAAGAAATTATGACACTGTAATTGTTCGCAACAAGTGATACAAGTAATCTTCTGTACAATTATTTATTCAAACACGAGTACATATATAAACATATGATTATTGTTACTGTACTACTAGTAATTACCTGATGTGTATTTCGGTTTTGAAGATTTTTATATTAAAAAATATCTATAATAAGCACAAACTTTTTGCTATGAAGAACAATCAAAGCATCAAATGTAGCCATTGAAACCAAGCAAATATCAAGTTCTGTAAATAACACTGCTGAACAGCCTGTCTCTCTAATTTCACTGCATGCCAATATCTATTATTCAAAGTAATTCCAAAAATCAAAAGGAATTCATATTTTTTAATCACAAAGCAAATATACTGCATATTTGCATTATTAAAAGCTTGATTTAGTTGTACAAACTGGTCCTGAGTCACATTGTTAATAGTATCAAGCATTTAAAATGTCCCCTCAGATTTACAGTAGAAATAGCAACATTGGGACAAGCAACCTTATTAAAATTACAATAACAAATTTAAATATTTAAAATTTTAGTATCTTTACATCATTGTTTAAACAAGAAATCATCAAGTAACCAATATCTAAGATTCTGTAATGACCTTATGAAAGGAATGTTTATGTCCGGGTAAGCTTCTGAGGAGGCATATACCCACATTCACCCAAGTGCCACAATCCAACACGACCATCGGGGCGAATGACAATGTGCGTCATGCTGCCGTTGTGTAGGGTCATGCGTAACCACGCTTCAGGGGGCAGTTGTAGGGATCTAGAATTATAAAAGATAATTTATTTTTACCAGCCAAGTGAAAATGTAAGATGGGAGTAGCCATCTGGCCAGAAAAAAATAATTAAATAGGACTATTCATTCACTATAATAACCTCCTGACTGAAAATCTTAATGTTCAGAAGAGCGTCCCCACATTTACACAAGTGACACAACCTAACAAAGCTGTACTAAACACCATAACACAGAATCAACACCATCACACTCCAGTATAATGCTTATAGCAGTAACCCACAATTTCATTCATAAAAGTTGAGCGCTTCTTGTGATTTGCCACAATTTTTTGATCACCACCATTCATTATCACTTGCTAATTATTTGCTAATTACTCCACCTGTTCTATGCTGCTCATATTCGATGCCCAATTCATAATGCACTCACCCACTATATCTTAATTTTAATTGCTTTTGTCTCTTCCTATATTCAAATTCACATGGGTTCACACTTCACCACTCCCATCCTCCATTTGCTCAATCTTGACATACTTCTCTAAAAAAATTATTTTGTATTTATATATATACACACAAGAGCTCTTACATTTTGTAAAGCCACTAGCACCCATAGCATTTCGGGCAGGTTCTTAATTTTAATTTTCCAAGGAATACAATCCGCCAAATCGTTTAACAACCAGGTACCCATTCACTGCTAGGTGAAGAGAGGCTACAGTTAAGGAATGGCACCCAGTCAGTCCTTTCCGTCCAAAGCGCTCGCAAAGTGCCGGGCGAATGTTTTACCACTGCGCCACGGGTGCTAAATCATACAATTTGACTGCTCTTCACTTTTCTTTCCATTATAGAGTATTGTATTTTCATGCCTTACTACAGTATATTAATGCTCATAACATTGGATAACATAAGGATTGGTCTTTTTGAAACTTAAAGTATGAAAAAGGTATGGAGCACTACATACAAAAGAAATGCTTGAATAGCTTTATAAAACAAAAATTGCATTTGTAAAATTCCAAGTTAAAATGTGGAATAATAAAAAGTAGACGACACACAACTTACAAATTATGTGAAAATTTGGCTTTAAAGGCTTTATTACTCAAAAATTTGAGTGGCCATTTTTTCAAAGTTTAGTGTAAGCAGCTGAAATTCTATGTACAGTAGTGAGGAAATTAAATACAGTGAGAGGTAGTTGCATAAGGTGACCGCAGTACAAGACCACCATACCATACAGGTAAGTGTGAATATTTATATGAATTATCTGCAATATTAAAAAAATGCAATAGTACATTGAGGAAGCCTGGTCGACGACCGGGCCGCGGGGTCGCTGAGCACCGAAATCACCTCAAGGTAAGGTAAGGTACACAATTATTATAATGAATTAAAAACATTCCATAAATGAAGATGTAGAAATAGAGTTTTTGTCCCTTTGTAGATATATATTTAAAACCCGGTTACCCATACCAGAACTTAACTACAAATGTAATGTTTAAACAAAATGCAATTGTAAAAAAAAAAAAAATACAATATAGTTTACTGATCAAATACAGTGGAACCTCTATAAAGGTAATAGCAGGAACAGAACACAAGATAAGTTGGGAAGAATTTACAACCGAATCATATCTTGATCTAGTAAATTGAGGCAGCAAGGTAACAAAACAGCATGAGGATTACTATTACTGTATTCTTATAATTCTATTGGCTGACTTTTTGTTTTTGTTTTAAGAATTTTGACTTTTTTTTTTATACCTACAGTAGTAAACGTTAGGCAAGAAAGGTCCGAGGAAAGTCCCAAACAATATCCAACTAGAAAGGCTCGTTAAAGTAGACCTATACTACATGATGATGATATATATAAGCCTCCTTCCCTAGAAGAGAAGGTGGGGGAAACAAAGAAAATGAAGAGAGAAAAGAAAAAAAAAATGGTATTCAAAAGGTATTTCTACTGATTATTTCTAATAATTACTGACCTGCACACAAAATACCTGATGACATTAGCATGACATACAATTATTTCATAGCTATCCTTTTCCTGAGATGATGGAGCACGATGAATGTATTTTCTAAAGGCAGCCTCAATGCGAGCACCATCAGCATAAAACTTCTGAGGAAAACGCTATCATCATTTACGGCTTTTAAAACAAATTAATACAAAAATAATGTTCAAAAGACTCACAGGTGAAAATATCTGAGGTACAGTTATTTTAATGATATTGGTCATAGCACAATCAAGGGTCTGTAGTGGTAGTGTCTGAAAGTTATTTGAAACCAGTTGAGAAGAGTGCGGGCAGAGGTTTACATTGCTACAATACATTGTTTACATTGCCCACCAAGGTATCTCTCAAGGTGATCAATGATGCATAGCCATCGACCAAACACAAGACGTGTAGCATGAGAGAGTTGATCAGCAAAGCCTAAACCAAAAAAAACTGCAAGCAGCACTCAAATAAATGCAGCATCTGCAATAACATATAATGCTTTCGCCTGCCAGACAATCTTGGCATTAATGGCCAATGGATCTTCCAGGTAGCAAGTCTCATTCCTAGGCAAAAACAGAAAGGCTGGAGGTGACATGAAGCTGGAAGCTAGAGGCAGAAGAAAAGCCACCTTAACAATGACTACTCAACTGAGGGAGAAACTTTCCTTGCCTCTACAAGCACACTAGATCCTAGTCCAGGTAATTGGTGTATATGAGCTAGTTTTGAGACCTGGTAGTTTTGTGAATGTGTCTGGTACCAGAGCAATGCACCAGTTAAGTTTCCAATGGACAGACTAAAAAGTATGTACAAAAATATACTCATTATAGTTTCATTAACTGTCATTTATAATGACTTTGTGATTACTGTATTATGTATCTGGATTTGTGAAAGTTGAATAAGATTCAAACTAAATACAAAAATATACAAAATCCATAAATGTCTGGATTAATACAGTCTAATTTTTCAAGCTCACAATGTACTTTTAAACAAATTATCCAAATCAAATTTAAGACATCTTTAATTCCAATCACTATCTTCAAATATCAATAAATTTCTTGAAAGCATGTCATCTAAAAGCAAATAATCACCTACATGCATTTCTGGCTTCCAGCTACCAATGGGTGGTTCTGGTGGAATGGGTGCCCCTTCTCGTAGCAGGTCACAATGTTCCACCTCTTCCACATTACCCAACTTTTCAGCGATAATCTTAGCTGTTTCTGCAGCCCTTGTCATTGTGGAGTAGACAATGCGTGAATACGGAAAATCAAGAATTTTAAGTCGTTCTCCAGTCAGCGCAGCCTGTTCACGACCTGTAGAAAAAAGCAAAGAAGTAAATACAAAATGACATGCAGTATATACAAAAGGAATACACCCATCAATGGTTGAGGGAGACGACCAGATAAGCCCACAAATCACGGGACCAGGAGCCGGCAAAATAGACCAGATGTGTTCCCCTGCAGCCATTAAGGAGATGAACCATAAACCCAGCAAGGTGCTTTCTGTGATGAAAAGAGAAAGAGACACCAACAAGTGAAAGAGGAACCCATGAAAGGAAGCGCAGAGACCGCAGAATCTGGCTCCAATGTTGCTTACCTGGATTAGTTGCAGGCAAAGCCCCAGCTCTACCAGACTGCCTCCTTGAATGAAGGGCAGAACCTGCAGTACAAACTGATACTGTACTTAGGAATATAGAAGATAAAAGAAAGAAAATGGGGCATTAACTTAAACATTTACCACCAGTTACATAATCTAATGACACACAGATGTCACCAAGTGACAAAATGTACAGAACGACTTACCCAACTGTGTAAGGTACCGCTCTGAATCCGTGGCACCGTCGAGATTATACTGTCCGTGTCGTATGAAAATTAAGTGACGGGATGCTGTTGCTCGAACCTTTTCAAAGCGTTCCTCAATATCATTAACGTTATTGTTAGCATCATGTTTTAGATTATGCGGTTTCACTAAACTCTGTGGTTCTCTTCTGGAAAAAGAAAAACATTTGTCAAATGCACTGTACCATAAGATTATCTTTATATCAACACACACAAAAGCCATCACACTGCAAACTAAATCAGGTCACTTAATTATTAACCCCAAAAAATTCCTACAGGAGAGTAATGCATCATGAATTATAGTATTCCTTAATAAAGTTTAATCTGTTAAGTACTTGTTACTAAAGCTAAACTCTTGCATTATCAACATAACATTTTTTTAAGTTCACTTGCATTGTTCACATTTCCCCACTTCTCTTTCACGCTTCTCAAGCACCATACACCATGTAACTAATTCACACACTAAACCTCAACAATTAATTCATACACAAAACCAACAGGTAATTATTTTACAAGCTAAACCTTAGCAAAGTACAGTAATTAGTTCGTGTAAACCTCAGTAGTTAATTAATTCATACATTAAGCCTCAGCAGATTAAAATTATTCACAATAAATAAATTTACTAATTCCTGTCTTCAGTGGTATAGCACAAACAAGTAAACACTAATACCAATTCCCAGGGCCAACAAAAGCCCATCTTCAACCTTTTACCAGCAAATACTGATGAACCAAAAATGTAAGCAGTCAACAGAAAACTTGAAAAGTTTCTGCAAGAGCTATTGGATCAGTCAGGTCGTGACGGCTATGAGACGCTTACACAAATAGCCACACTGGTCCAAATAATAGTCAGGAAAGCCTGGACCCATGACAGGCAGCTAGTGGAAAGTTTGTAGTAACTTTGTACCCTGGTGCAGGACACATTTTATGATGAGGTCAACTAGTCTTATATAATGCTTCTCAGACTGTGAGTGTGAATATATGCATGAGTGAGTGAACAAATGCATGCAAGTGAGAAATATAAGTGGAGGGATATATAAAGCAACCTACCAACCTATCCCAGTTCCAATCCCATTTAACCGATGGGGTGAAACCTGTAGTCCAAGAAGCCAAAGCATTCTTTTTGCTGGTGTCGCTGGTCACAATATAACCAGCAATAGCACCTCCTGCTGCAGCTGCAACCACACTCGCACGACCTAATTTCTTCACCCACATTTTCTTCTCGTTTCAGGTTTACAGCGCCTTGCCGAGAGATTCTAATTACTGTATCTACCTCAAAGATAATTTCTTCTTTAATATGATATTTTTATGGGAATCTGTAGCTTCTCATTTGGTACCACTTTTACTTAATGGTTATCTGCTGTACTATTTGTCACATACTGGTAACATCATGACTTTTACCAAGTCTGCTTGCAAGTCTCTCACCCACCATTTAAAACCTTTAAAGAAAAAATTAATTTTAGTTGATATTATAAATTTACCAGCTATTCAGTACAGGTATATCAATAAGCATATGACAAAATATAGTAAGGGTTCCACCACCAACAAAACTTGGTCTTCTGAAAGTTTAGATGAAGTTTCAAGCTCAACAAGCCACAATGCAGGACTGAGAACAAGAGATGCGTTTTCACCCACAGGGTTATTAACCCATGGAACTGCCTACCCGCCACCGTAAATGCCAAAACTCTGTTAACTTTTAAAGTACAACTGGAAAAGATCAAGGCAAGTGGGAGGACATTCGACAAGCCACCAGCATCCTATCCTCATCGAGGCCCTAGTATTAGTGGCCCTCACATAAAGAAGGTTTCATTCCAGTTGCAAGATCATCGAGATGCGTTGAAATGGAAAAAATATTGGCATCTTTTGGTCATGTGAAACCACAAATTGTTTCATTGTATTTCTGAACTGGAATTCAGTGCAGGGACACTTATTTTTTTTAAGTAATTTGATGAAAATGTGTTGAAAAATTATCCTATCATTTAAACTAATGAGAACATAACTATGTAAATCAAGTGTCGAATGAAATTTAATGACCTTTTCGCTTTTCTGATGGGGTCCCTCGATGCCTTCTCAATGTTAGTTCTAGGCTAACTAGGTTCTTGTGGAACTAGATGCCTAATTCCACAAGAACTAGCCATCAATTCTGTACGATATACTATTCAAAACCAAAATTATCTTCACCCAATTCTGCATTATGCTGAAAAAAAGATGCAAATTCATGAACATAGTATTGGATTCAGGTCACTGTACTTAAGATGGTGCGCCAATGGACTTTAAAATTGATCTAACTTTACCCAAGATAACCTAACACAGGGTAAGGTACACAGGGCAAGGTACCCTAGTGTACCTTACCTCCAGCTCCCCAAACTACTCAGCACGACTACCACGGTGGTTCACGCAGTTTAATAACCCCACTCCTGTGCCGGGTAAGTCCACTACGGGCTCACCATAGCCCGTGCTACTTGGGTTCCAAGTAGCTGAATCTATAACAACAAGAAGCAGTTAATGATGGTAGACTGGAGTGTACCTCACACTGAAGGTACACACAACAGTGGTGCACCAGTTAGCCTAGTGTACCTCACCCTGGAGCTCTTGTACCTGGTCACCACGCACTACGGTAAGTACGGTACACTATAATGGCCACCCAGCCGCCCTCTGCCGGCCACGGCTCACATCACTCTTCTCTGTATTTACTATTTTCTCTATTGACTATTTCCCTCTGCAGAATCGAGTTATTAGCTCTTGGACCCCGCCTTTCTAACCAATCTATTTTCCTCTGTTATATCTACTACATATGTCTCTTAACACTCTACACGCATATATCCCCCAGGAAGCAGCCCGTAGGTGCTGTCTAACTCCTATTTACTGCTAGGTGAACAGGTGCATCAAGTGAAAGAAACTCTGATCATTTGTTGCCGACTCCGTCGGGAGTCGAACCCGGGCACTTAGGACTACGACCCCCCGAGCGCTGTCCACTCAGCCGCGTGGCCCCCCATCTGTGCTAACCTAGTTGTGCTTGCGGGGGGGGGGGGAGGGGTCGAGCTTTGGCTCTTTGGTCCCGCCTCTCAACTGTCAGTCAACTGGTGTACAGATTCCTGAGCCTATCATATCTACATTTGAAACTGTGTATGGAGTCAGCCTCCACCACATCCCTGCCTAATGCATTCCATTTGTTAACTACTCTGACACTGAAAACAAAATTCTAATGTCTTTGTGGGTCATTAGGGTACTAAGTTTCCACCTGTGTCCCCTTGTATGTGTCCCCACCCCCTTGTATGTGTCCCACCCGTGCTAAACAGTTTGTCTTTCTCCACCCTGTCAATTCCCCTGAGAATTTTGTAGGGGGTTATCATATGTATGTATTTACCTGAGGGCCATTATCTCTCTAGTGGCCCCGACGGGGACAGGAAGCCGGCAGCTTGTAATGGTCCCCCATTTGTTCTGATGACTTTTTCAAGCTGGATTTTAAAGTTCAGCAGAATTTTGACATTTACAACTTCAGTGGGTAGGCAGTTCCATAGGTTTATAACCCATGGAAACACAGTAACTGTATAGGTGAAAAGGCATCTCTTCTTTTGCAGTCTTACATTGTGGATTGTTGAGCTTAAAACCGTAGTTCCTTGTTTGTGATACATCTGACCTGTCGAAGAAGTTGTCTGGATCAGCATTCTCCAAATTGTTTGCTATTTAGAACGTTTCGATAAGAACAGCCCTATCGTGTCTGGTTAGCAGTGTTGTTGGCCCTGTGGCCCTCAACCTTTCCTGGTACAAGAGTTGACTTAGTTTTGGAATTATTTTTGTTGCCCGGTGTTGAACTTTCTCCAATGAAGCTGTCTTTCTGAAGATGAGGTGTCCATGCCTTTGTAACGGTTCTATTGTTACGTAAAGTATGGTGACAAATAAACACAGACACTAAGATATATATATATATATTTGGTCGAATATACAGAAGTACACAGGTGATACTTTGGTGTGAGTTGAGCGCACTGAGCGTCGGTACAGTATCTCGCAAGTGTCTGCTCTAGACCACACTTGAAAGTAGACTCTGATTAATGTTTGCTATTCTGCTGCTTATATGCTCGGGCAACACCTCACCGTGTTGCCCGGGCAACGCCTCACCTCATTCATCTCCAAAGGTTGACAGGAATATTAACAATGCATTTGGAGCGAGTATATTATTGGGATAATCTACTCGCTACAGAACTCCCCCTCCCAGGGGATGAAAGGAAAAATACTTGATCAAGGAACTTAGCTGGTCGGTGAATTGTACGCCCTGCTCGCGTTACATAACCATCAAAGTTAACTTCCTCCTCTTCGCTGATGTCATCTAACTGGGGTTGTAGGGTGGGAGGTCGCACAGGATCGTCCGTCGTCGTAGGATCAGGTTGTGGTGCGGCTGGTAACTGGGGTTGTAGGGTGGGAGGTCGTACAGGATCGTCCGTCGTCGTAGGTGGCGGTGCTGCTGGTAACTGGTCGAAAAGTGAACTGCGTAGTCGGCGGATGTGTCTCTGGATTTAGCAGTGTCGCAGACGTTGAGACGAAGCCTGGAGCAGAGCAGAGAGCTGAGTGAGGCCGGAGTCGTGGAGGTCTATGTGGGAGAGCGTGGCGGCTCGATTGAGAATTGTGAGTGTCTGAACTCGGGGAGCGAGAGCGTGGCGGCTCGATGCTGTCTGCTCTGTGTCGAAGCTGTAGCGTCTTGGGTTGATTAGGACTGTACACGCCGAGTACTACATTGTTGACTGTGGAAATTGTAGTCTGGTACCAAAAGATGTAGGCAGTGTGTGGACAAGCTCGGTGTAGCAGGAGAGAAGAATGTGCATAATTGTTGCGTCCTTGGGTCGCTGGTGGAGCATTTAGATCCGGGGCGGATGGGCTTGGGCACCAGGACATTAGGAGGTAATGTAGGCACGTAGTTAGGACAACGAGGTAATCACTGCTAGAGCTGAATTGTCCTGGAGGCGACGAAGAGTCGGAAACGCAAGCTGTAAGTCCTGTACTGCGCAAAGTGCTTGAGTCGGCAGAGTATCAGAATGCAGTGAACGTGTAGATGAATCTGACGAAAGAGCAGCTTTCGTGGGCGCCCCTGTAGAACAAGCAGTGCCCTGGCAGCGACGGAGAGTCGGCAGGACAGGCTGTAGATCCCACATTATGTAGTTACTGATGAAGCTGCCAGATGAGTGAGTAGTGATCGTGGAGCAGCAAGCCGTAGTAGATGAAAATGCAGAGACGATCGCGATGAAAATCATAGCTGTGGCGAGGGTGTTGGCAATGTTCCACGACAGGTGGCTGCGGTCCACAGCAAGCAGCAGCAGTGGAGGTCCAGTGAGAGTCCATGTTGTAGTCCATCGTGGCTGGGTATCGTCGAAACTCTCTGGGGTCACCAATGTAACGGTTCTATTGTTACGTAAAGTATGGTGACAAATAAACACAGACACTAAGATATATATATATATATTTGGTCGAATATACGGAAGTACACAGGTGATACTTTGGTGTGAGTTGAGCGCACTGAGCGTCGGTACAGTATCTCGCAAGTGTCTGCTCTAGACCACACTTGAAAGTAGACTCTGGTTAATGTTTGCTATTCTGCTGCTTATATGCTCGGGCAACACCTCACCGTGTTGCCCGGGCAATGCCTCACCTCATTCATCTCCAAAGGTTGACAGGAATATTAACAATGCATTTGGAGCGAATATATTATTGGGATAATCTACTCGCTACACCTTCATGCAATAATCCAGGTGGGGGTGCATATATAACTACCATTTTTTTTCTTAAAGTCAAAGGTACGTTTGAATATTTCTAGGGTTTGGTTAGCCTTTTTTTTACTGTCACTACACTATATAATCGTAATGTCTTGGCGCTTCCCCCCCTCCTGATATTTCTATTCTATTCTCACTTATTGTGCAATTCTTAGTGAATGATGAGTTCAGACTCCAAGAGCCTTTTCGCCATCAATCTGCTGCAAGGTAATGCTGTTAATTTGGCAAAAGATAATTTTGCCCTCAGATAAATTAAAATTGTATAAATATATATATATTTTTTTAATATGGAAGGGAGTATCACCTCTAGCTGGAAGAAGGGGGACCCATAGCCTCGGAGGAAACCACGCATAACGCATTAGAGGGAATGTTTAGATCCCCTCCAATACAGTTTCTGTGTGCTTTTCTCCTACCACCCCCTTCCTTTTTTATTTTTTGTGCTTTATTATGCATTTGATGGTTACAAGATATACATGGGTTGATACAAAAATAATAATGCAAAAAGGTGCTTAAAGGTTATGGATCTCTTGAAAAACACAACAATGGGAAACATTGATGAATGTCACAGACGGGTTCGATCATTGTTGCAAGTCAAACACTTCTTCGAATTCCTCTGAAGTTGGACTAGTGCCCAAGACGCAATAGGCATTTCCCCTCTGAATCGCAACACTGAGGCGCTGGAACAAGAAACTTTTTGCTCTCTGGTCTTTTGTAGCGCTGATCAATTTGTCCCCCAATTCCTTCAGGAACTTCAATGCACATTTTCCCCACGAACCGAGGGTCTCCGAGCCGATCGGAACAAAGCTGTAGCAGTGTGCTAGACCTCTGTATTTAATAATTTTCTGCGATTCCCTGAAAGAAGCAGCACCACCGCTTTCACGTGTGCTGTAGTGGAGGTAGGTACTGGCCAGTGTGGCAGCGCACATGTAGTCCCATACCACTTGCTTACCATCCTTCCAAGGTAGCAAGGTGACCCCATCAGGGCGCTTCTGAGGGTCATTAGGTCTGGATAAGTGTGGTTCTCTTTGTGCCGGGCAGCGGGCTGTGGCGAGGCTCCTCTTGATGATGTCGTTGACTTCTTCATGTCTTGCAATTTTACCCTGTGATTTACGACATACCAGACCATGACGACCATATTGGTCTGCCATCGCAGTTCCGCAGATGCACCTATGTTCGGTGAGGATGGGGGCGGCAAGGCGAAGGGCAACTCCAATGCGGAGAGCGTCATGACTGAGGCGAGTTCCCAGGGCTGCATTGGGCACAGCAAATAAAAAATCCCCGGCGTGGGGTGCTGTTACCGCTAGGAGGCGGGCTTTGTTTTCAGCATCAGCGTTGTCAATCATTGCTGTGACAGTCTTTTCCATTATGGGGCTATCCCAGTGGGCCTGCTTGTGGTCTTTTGGGACTTGTGGTCGGGGTTGAGGGTGTGCAATGGTGTCCCATTGTCTGGCTGCTTCGATGAACGTTTGATCATGAGTTCCCGCTGTCTCTCTCATACGCTCTGGTAGGATCTGCCCTACCAATTCGTTGGCTGCTGTACATGAGGATAGGAATGCTGGAAGTGCTACCTCAGTTGACTTTCGTATGCCTATCCCTCCAAATCTCACTGGTAGTGTTGCTTGGTCCCACTGACTGTCATCTAAATCTAGGTTGAGCGCCTTCCTGAATATTGACCTGAGGAGCTCATCATATTGATTTAGAAGTGGGTAGTTGGTGCACACCTTAAGAAGTATGTTAGCCTGGGCAAGGTAAGGCACTTTGTGAGAAGGTAGAGGGCATCGTGGGAGTCCAAGTCCCCAATTCTCTCTTCCATCCTCTTTAGGTCTCTAAACTTTTCGTCAAGGACTGCAGCAATGGCATTGTGGCCCAGAGGTGCTCCGAGTAGTGTGCTGTCGG